ACAATATTTTGATCCTTGGCTCCAGTTCAACCTATCTTAGGCCAGTTTAGGTCAGTTTTACATGGTTCAGCTCCTATTCAGACACGATTGAGACTGGTCCAGCACGGTTCAGATACAAGTACACTTGGTTCAGCACTGTCCAAGCTTGATTCAGTCGGTTCATCTCCGATTCATCTCCGGTTTAGCACTATCCAGACTTGATTCAGCCATTTCATCTCTAGTTCAACCCATCTTAGGCCGGTTCAGATCCTGTTCAGCAAGTTTTAGATCTGTTTTAGCCTAGTTTGGACCTACTCCGTTCGTTATCCAGCTGGATTACCTTGTTTAAGTGACTTTGGGCTAGTTCTGAGACTTCTTTGTGTTAAATCACACTTGAGTGGCTGGTTATGAGTTCTTTATCTCCCTTGAACTATTTTCTTTCTATCATATGACTATGAAACCCAAGGATGATGATCCATCTGTAGTTACTTCTCCATTGTCACCAAGTTTGTCTCATACTGTCCTCTTTAATGGCTCTATGACCTCTATTAAGCTCAATAGGATCAATTATATTTTATAGTCACGATCAGTCCTACTATTTCTTCAAGGTAAAGATTTTAAAGGAAATATGAAACTCAGGAACCAGATCTAAGTAGGGTATTTGTCTGTCTCAAAAGAAATATGTACTTGACATGCTAGAAGAAGCAAGTTTGCTGGGTAGTAGACCAATTGATGTTCCTATGAATCCAAATCAGAAGTTGTTGATGGATGATGGTGCATCGTTTGATAATCCAGGTTGGTTGAAAAATTTAATTATCTCGCTATTACTTGACCAGATAATGCATATGCAGTGTGGTAAGTCAGTTTATGAGATGTCCTAGAATACCACATTGGGATGCAGTCATTTGTATTCTTCGATATCTCAAACGTGCTCTTGGTTTTGGATTGTTATATCAAACTAATAGACATCTTAGAGTGGAAGGCTTTTTGAATACTAATCGAGCTGGTTCTCCCTCTGATCGACGATTAACCACTGGTTATTGCACTTTCTTGGGAGGTAATATTATTTCATGAAAAAGTAAAAAGTAAACAGTGGTAGCACGATCCAGTGTTGAGGTTGAGTATAGAACAATGGCACATACAACTAGTGAGTTGACATGGTTATTACACTTTATTCAGGAAATTAGTTTTCCAATTCAACTTCCTTCACAATTGTTCTGTGTTAATCAGGCAGCTCTTCATATTGTTGTCAATCCAGTGTTTCATAAGAGGACTAAACATATTGAAGTTGACTGTCATTTTATTCGAGACAGGATACAAAATGTAAATATTGCAACTCCATTTGTGAGATCTGAGACTCAACTTATAGAAATGTTCACCAAAGCATTAAGTCGTACTCGTCTTACAACTATTTGTTCTAAACTTGGATTATATGATATCTATAGTCCAACTTGATGGAGAGTGTTGAGAATGTTACTATAATATAATTAGAGTTACACTTATTGTAATATGTATACCACACAACGGGTATTCTTGTCTTTTGCATCTTTGTTCAATAACCATAAATACAAGCTTGATAGTGAGAGGTAGGGAATGTTAAAAACTCTCTTTGCCTCTCTTATATTGTGTTAAGTATGCCTCTCCTCTAAACTTAACACAATCTATGAAAGTGTAAATAGCAATTGAATTATACCTTCTACCTATTTTATATTTTGAGGATCTTACCTTTGTGAATATATAAAACTAGTTTGGGATAAATCCTATATTTTGATTTATGTCATAGATTCAGCCCCACATTTATTTTTTAGTTTTAACTATGGACATGACTGAGAGAGAATCAGGCTGTCCGAGGAATATTAGTGTCTGTATTTCTTAGGTCACCACTAACAAAGACAAGAAAACACAACCATATAGAGTTTAGCTGTTACGGCGGGAATTTCTGCATCTGACACCTTGTGCTTGCATCAAAACACATCACCATTGTCCATGTTTCCATATCACACGTCTGAATATGAAAAAATATTCTTGTAACTGAATGACCTCAAACATTTCACAAAGAAATTAGAATAAGACACACTGAGTAGGCTCTCCTGGCATCTAAGAAGCAAGACGCTTTTAAGAAGGTGACATGTACATGTCGAACATCGACACGCCTTAAAACACTCCCAAACACATGTTTGAGATACTCTTTTATTCCTGCCCATAATTAAAAAATAAAATTTTAATTTCGGACACGTGTCCGAAATTCTTTTCCCGACATATCTGAAATTCCTTTGGCAATGTGTCCGAAACTTCTTTAAGTCGTATTTACTACCAAACAATAAACAGGTGTTGAGATCAAGGAACTATATTTCGCTTTAAAACATCTGAAACGTTTCCGTTTCAAAGGAAAGTAAAATGAATCATTTATTGAGTATCAGAATTCCTATGTTTTGAGGCGTTTAGGTAAGTTTCGAGGCGTTTAGGTAAGTTTCGAGGTGTTTTGGTAAGTTTCGAGGTGTTTTGTAGGTTTCGAGGTGTGTTTCAAAATGTTTTGATATGTTTCAACTAGTGTTTTGAAAATAAATTTTCAAAATTTTTTTTTTGTTTCTATCTTTTTTCCGAAATTTTTTTGAAAGGTTTCCATTTCCAAACTTACCGAAACTATGTACAAAAACAAAATTTTGATCATTAGTTGAGATGTAAATAACAAAGCTTAAAAATTTAAAAAATGAATATCTTTTTCTATGGAAAAATATATGACTATTAAGACTAATCATGTTAAAATTATTCTTAAAATTTCTTAATAAAATCTACAAATTGAAAATACTTTGTGAAAGAAGAGTAATTGAGTACATGAGTGCAATATGCGTAATTACGTATTTTCCTACATGTTGTCTTAAAAAAAACAATGATAATTGATTACCATGATCCTTTAGTCGAAAACTTCCCACTAGATGAAAAAATATAAGATTTACTAGTCAAAAAGTAATGAATTTCTAATTAGTAATAACATCATTATATCTATCACTAAATTTTATTTTGAAACATGCGAAACATTTTCGTTTCCTAGAAAATTGAAACGAATCATTGATTAAATATCAGAATTCCTATATTTTCAAATGTTTTAAAGTATTTTGGTAAGTTTCAAGGTATTTGGGCATGTTTTGACCTATGTTTTGAATTGTTTTAGTATGTTTCAACTAATGTTTCAAAAATAAATTTTTAAATTTGTCTTTGTTTCCATCTTGTTTCCGAAATTTTTCCGAAACATTTTCGTTTCCAAACTCACCTAAACTGTGCACAAAAACGAAATTTTGAATATTTATTATACAGGGAATTTCATCGAGACCCTAGTATAATGTCATATCTTCACGGTCACCCCTTGTATTTCCCAAAATTCCATTGTCATCTTTTCTAGTTTATATACCCGATTCAACCACACCACCCCCTATTGTTAGCCTCAATCACTGACAAGGTAAAAAGTTGATGATGCAACTAAAATTCTATAGAAAATGCCAAAATTATCCTAAAACATGTTAGTGAACTTAAATTACATTGAATAGAAGCTTTAATTACTTTTGCACCCTTACCTCCAATACTAATCAAAATAAACATATTATTTGTAACAAAAATCAAACCCGAATGGTCACAAGCGTAGAGCACTCAACAAGAGAAAAAGAATTAAAAATTCACTGTCTTAGATGAAAAGTGTTTTCTTAGGTTATGGATTTACGGGTAATATCATATATGTTACAAACAAGTTATTAGAGTTGAATTTTAGCAATATAAATTTTGAATTTCAACTCAACTTAATCAAATGACCTCTAACTTTCATCATATATTATATACAAATTTTTATAGGATCATAATGGATTGAATTTTAATAAACATGATCAAAATTCGTGAAATATTATACACCGAAATCAAAATTTGAATTTGAATAGTTGATCAAAAAAATGAATCCATATTTGACTAATTGGAATTTGTTGAAGTATAAATACTTAACTTACATCCTCTACAAAAAAAATTTAGAATAGATGGTTGTTTAACATGATATCAAAGCAAAAAGTCCTGTGTTTGAATCTCGCCGTCACCCTAACTATTAAAAATGTTTATAGGTGCTAGGCCCAAAATCTAGCTTGCACGTGAAGGAGTATGTTGAAGTATAAATATTTATGTTACACCCTCTTCAAAAGTTTTTTGGAGTAGATGGTTGTTTAACAAAATTGAATTCAAATTTAAATTAAAATCTGATACACTCACAAGTCTATATACGGATCGTTTCAAACATTTCTCAAAGATGAAAATGATTTTGTAGGTCATGGGTCATTGGGTCTTTCAATTTGCAATAATACAATACTACAAGGGGTGTCAATGAAGTTTCAAATATTATAGGTGGTGCATGTGAAAATATGGTATTATGAGGGTATGGATGAAAATTTTCATGCTTGAAATGTCTTATGGGCAGAATGGTAAAATGATGTTTTCGAATAATCTCTTTAACTGACCGCTAAACAATCATCTACTCCAAAAGGTTTAGTTGCCAAGGATGTAACTCCAGTATTTATTCTTCAACAAGCCCCCCTAAAGTACACGCTAGATTTCCGTGAAAATCTTTTAATAATTTGGGTCTACAAGATTCTAACAAAGGACCTCATACTTTTAACCATATTAAACAACCTTCAACTCCAAAAGCTTAGATTGTTGAATAAGTTGTAATTTAAGTATTTATTCTTCAACACCGACAAACACTTATGGGCAATGCAGAGGCTATCCATAAAGAGATTGCATAATGCAAGGAGTGTGGATGAAATTTTCCTTATGTTATATAATGTGTATAAAACATATTTTTTTGTAACATGTCAATATCCAACATTTTATAAAAATATCATGTTCGCATATCCCTGTCATATCAAATCCGTGTTCTAAGCCGCATAACAGGATATGCAACAAAGTCATACGAAATAGAAAGGAACAGAGCCATAATCTTACGCAGCAATAGTAACAAAATGAAGAAGCCCACATAACACAAGCAGAAATTAAGAATGCCCTACCTCAAGTGAAGATTGTTGAATAGGGTGTAATTTAAGACTGTAATCATCAACCAAATAAAATAGCCATATAGAAATAAGGCAGTATGACATTTTAGAGTGAATTTGTTCATATACATACCTCCTCTTCTCAGCTTCATGGGGTATATTGATTGTAAATTTACAAAGTGACGCTAGGAAAGAATTTAAAGGTTCTATGGCACAAAGAACCCCACATGCCTGCACAACAATCAGCAGATGCTCATTATATATTGCAGATCACAATATGAAAGCAGCTCAGTCTGGATGCTCTTTGGAGTATACTATCAATAAGAGAAAGATTAAAGTAACCATGTGAAGTCTATTCTTCAAAAACTGGGGGGTGTGGAGGTGGGGATGAAATTCATAGTGTTGAAAATATGGAACCCATAAATATGCTCTGTCAATGAGTGGAAACCATGGTTACCTGAGTGAATGCTTGATAACCCTTTAAAATCTCCAACACAATGGCCTCTCCTTGGGACCTTCCAAATCAACCTCATGTCAGAAATTGAGAAATTGTGCTATTCAAAAGAGTATCATACCCATGAGATGAAAGCTCCACCATACTTTGTCAATATCAAGGATAATGCATCAAGTATGGTCAACCACATTGAATCAACCATCGACATGCAGAGAACTGCAGTTTTCCCTGTACACTTCGCAGGTGGGTCGGAATCGTCTTTGGGGGATTCAAGCTGGTGTTTTATGAGAATATAAGACATTACAAGCCAGAGGGGTCATATGAGATGCTACTTTTCAACTTAGGCAGAAGTAGAAACACATACACAACACAAAAACCTTACTTCACCAACATCCACTGCTTCATCTGTTAAAGTAGCAACCGTGAAAACAACTCCCAACAGACCCTCGATTGCCAAAGTTATTGCATGGGCTTCACTTGCAACCAAAACAGCAACATTTGATGCATCATTATCTAAGCTCCACTCAATCCCTGCTAGAGAAACACATTATCACATTGACTGGCCACTTAGAATTTCAACAACCTGTGATAATTGATGGACTCCACAGATCCTAAGATGCAAGAGGATTGAAGTGAACCCTAGGTCAAAAATTTTGTAACTTGCCCATATCCATTCTTATGTATGACAGCATAAATCTTAATCTAAATGAACCATAAGAAAGCATCAGAAACATCTACACATAATCATGAACTTCATCCTCTTAGCCTAATAAATCATATTCACCGAAGGAAGTAAGATTGTATCAACATTTGAATAGCACTTCCACGCTGTGCTTCACTAAATTATAGAATTGAGCTTCGCCAGCATAATGTGGACTTGTCAATATTATCTTACAGTATGATGACTTCATGCTCAAAGCTTACTGCCATATTCCAACACTGTTCTCAAGGGCAAATGAAGAAGTGTACATTGCATTGGACAGATTTTGGCTAGTTTTGTGGGCTTTCCTTGACAGAGAATCGTGCACTTTATATTGCATAAGGCATCTGAGTCTACCATTCCTTCAGAGGTAGGCAAAAATAAGACAGTGATAGCAAAAACCCATGGGGCATAGTGATTCAAAAAGTGTTCTTCATCACAACTGTACTGATGGTCATGGAGAAGCGCTTACCTTTTTGGCAATGGAGTGGCCTAAAGTTGACACTCATCAGAGAAATGCACACACGAGATTTCATCCACAAACTACAACCCTCACATATTTTTCAAGTAACACTACTAGTGAAAAATAGGATAACTATTTACTGCAAAAGGATCAAAAGTATGCAGCTAAAGTTGCAACATTCATTCAAATAGGTGGTATTGTCTTACAATTTTTCCATGGGACATTGACTCACAAGCTAACGCAAATATCTATGGAAAATTCTAAGAAAAAGAAGCCTAGCTATTCCAAACTGAGATGAATCCTTGAAAAAATCAAATTACAGAAAATCTGAACACATTAAATTTCAATTAATATCATAGATGTCAAATCGTAGCTATTTACAACTATCAAAGTTGCAGCTTGATGAAAGCTGGCATATGTTGCAGCAAAATATATTTTGTGCCTCATCAATATAACTCTCATTTTGATAGCTACGAGAGTAAGTACCTTTAGCCTTGCTGCTAAACATTCCTGCAACCGCTGCCAAACTCTCCTCACTTGTGTCTTGAACCTAAAACATTAACAAATGATCAATTTTAAAAAAAAAAAACAGAATCAAGAATATTTTAATTAAATAATTGAGGTACTGCAAAGAGCAGAAGAATGAGAATCCAACCAAAAGCGAACTTCATATACCAAATTGCAAAAGTCAAATGTAAACAAGAAAACCTGCAACACCAAAAAAAAACAAACCCTAACTCTCCTCAGAGGAATTAGAATTCCCTCTTAAGTGGAAACCATCATATTAACTTCCTACTTGGCCAAAATAATTAGCATCTCTTAGCCAATCAAGACAATCGATCTAAATTCAGCTCAAAACAGCAAATACATCCATGACACAAGCATGGAACGGATCTGGTTTTGAACCAATTTTGCTATAACTCCCTCTGTCAAGCAATTGTACAACACTCCTGTCAAGGGACTCACTAAGGCTTCCTAAAAAGCTCGAGTATCAGCTTTAAAAAAAAACCTGCACCCGTCAGCACATGAAAAACGATGATGATTTATTCTGGTAATCATAAAAGCAAGGATCAAAATGTTGTGTAAAAAACGTCTAAAACATTTTCGGAAGTTTAACACTCCGACACGAAACAGTGGTTGAATCACAAAATTCCAGTGTTTCGTTCAAACTGAATTGTTTTGGACCGTTTCGACGAAACAGTCGATAGATTCGGTTCACCATTCACTCCAAAGCCAAAAAGAAAAAAAGAGAGAGGGAAAGAGAGAGGCTCAGATAAGGCATATACCCAAGTAAGAATTCACAGCTCCAAGTCAAAAAAAAAA